TTACAAGCAGCTCGTCACTTGGAGATGCTAAACTCCAAGTAGTTTCAAAGGAAACATATGGCTAAGATTGTTGTTGAAAAATGCATATTTAGTAGCAATCCATTTAAGAAACTTCACCATATAGTCGTATACATGCGTCATCTTCCAGTTAAAAGTATCATACTTCTTGTGGTCAATATTAGGTAGAACACAAGTTTCTTTCAGTTAATAATTTGTAGTATAAGGTTGCTTTACAATATATTTTTCCATTTTTAAATCTAAATTATTGTTAGTTCATTACAACAACTACATGAATTAGCACAAAATAATTTGCACCACGTGCAATGCACGTGCACTTTACTAGTTATACATAAATATATATACTATATGGGATTGGATGTCGCCTCGCGCCCGCGAGCTCGCAGAAAAATCCGCGACGTCGAGAATGCTCTCCACTCCATGCCCGTGAGCTCGCGCAAAAACCTGCGACGTCGAGATTGCACCGCGCCTCGCGCCTTGGTCCGCGACATCGCGAGTGCCGTGCCCGCGCCCACGCCTTGCTAGCGCACGCTCGCACCCAGCGGGCCATTCCGCGACCACGCAAGTGCTCCCACGCCCTGCCAGCACCTGCCAACTCGCGACAACGCGGAAATTTCTGAGACCTCACGAGTTTTTAACTAAGTGTGCATGTTTTTAGTGTGTTTGTGGTGTAGCTATAAAAAAAAACATTGTGCTTTGTAATTTTGGACATCACTCATTTCTCAACTTTTTAGTTGAGAAATTCTCTCCATTTTCTCTCTTTTATTTTTTTTTTCTTTAGTTGGAGGTTCATAACTGACATTCATCATATTTTCATGCATTATGAGTGATATACTGTGATGTTTAACCGTGTTTATCTTGGGATTGTGCACCATTTTGTTTGATTTATTAATCTATGATAGAGGTACATTTGTCGTTGGTTTTGTAGGAAATATGCCCGAAAGAGCGTTAAAGATGGAATTGAGACGAAAAACAGCGAAAACAAGGTGCAGGCAGGTCACACGACTCATGTGGTCAGTGACACGAGTCGTGTGGGGTGAAAAAAATGGAGAATTAGCTACGGCATTTTCACACTGGTCGTGTGTCAGGTGACACGGGTCGTGTGACCTCACACGGGTCGTGTGACCCGGTCGTGTGACCAGTCGTGTGAGTCTGGGAGTTGGCCGAAAGTTCGAGGAAAGTCACACGACTCGTGTGGAATGTGACACGGGTCGTGTGACGCGCAGAGAGACCAGCGGAAAATAAGATTCCTATGCGATTTTGTCCCTTTTTCAACCTAAATTTGCCCTACACTATATAAGGGACATGGAGAACACGGTTTTGAGACTTTGGACACTATTGGAGGCCTGAGAAAGTACGAAACACACGAGGAATTCGAGGAAGTCAAGATTGAAGATCCGGGAACTAACGGCGACAATAGTTCTTCATTATTTTCTCTTTTTCTTCTTCATTGAACTCATGGATTTATTTATTTTGAGTATTGAGA